AAAGTGTTTGTAAATTGGTTACTATTGGTTAAGTGGAGTATGTATAGCCAAATGAATGAGGTACATGTTGCTGCGATGTTTTAATTCCCATTGTAGCCCTCCATTAACTTTTAAGAATGCTCCCTTGACACCAGATCATGGATTGGTCCAGCCAAGACCATTACAACTGTACTGGTATTATGCATATGGATAAGGAAGTCAACCAACTAAACAAAAATCAGAAAAAAATACATACAATTTTGACTATAAGACAATATAATTAAAGGTAATAATGTAATACTGCATAGCCAGAAAATTTGGCGAACAATTACGTTTGTGTAAATTGGTGGATTACTTGCTTCCAGAGCCTGGTCCATCTGCAATGCATCAGCTTGATTATTAGTCTATCATTAATCAACTCTGAAAGCTCTTCATTTACCTTCATACTTTTGTGTGTACTAATTAGTGATAAATAAATTGACTGATATCACATCTAAATTTAGTATAATACCTACTCTGGCTTGGTCTGCTCAGTCAGCTACCACTGAGTTTTAATAGTCTGGGAAAGTCCCTCACCAGCTCCAATTAAATTAATATTCACATATTACATGTATCTATGATTACAACAAGGCATAAATTACACATTACAGTCAATTTACATGACTACTGTACCTTAAGATAAGTTAAGAAGAAGGAAAACTGAAGTGAAAGCCATACAATGAATGATTCTAATTAACGTCCTACTGTACTGATCTGAGCATGCTCAGAAGACAGCGTGCTATTAAAAATGGCGTCTACCAGTGAGTCCATGACTGCTTGGGCCAGAGAACACGATTTTTCCTTGATTTTGCTCACCTGTATTTGATGAGTGACTGCACTTCTTACACTACAGTGCAAGAGAATTGTGTAAAAATCATTCTCCTGTGATTGATATCCTAGGAGGAGTTTTGACTGACAGAAAGAAGAAGCAGAAACCTGAACGGAATACGCACGCGTGCATCAGTGCATTCATGCACCCCGTAAAACCGTACTTATCACTATTTTCAGCTCCTTTTGCTGGTTCCCAAGTCTTCTAAAGGTAATGAAAAGCTCATCTAGGCTCTCAAATAAGAAATAAAGTTAGATTATCCCAGAGAAATGACGTCAAATGAGCAAGAATAGCTCAATTCGGGCAGCCATTTTGACCAACTCAACCCTACTAACCAAGCTCTACCGCTTGGCAATAATAAGGAACATGTGTTAGTATCACATTATTATTCTTTTTACAGCTTTCAGAGTTAAGTGGAGTTCCTGTTGAGTATATCTCTTTTTCAAAAGTTAATCATTAAAACATTTTTAAAAAATACTCTCTCTCTGACTCTATTATAGGGAGGATCATTCCCGGTTGAGATATCATGTCTTGATATTGAGAAAATTAAGCTAAAATGGTATTCCATCAATTCATCCAAATACTCATTAGGATTATTTGGTGATGGACATGTCATATATTACAAGTACTAATGAACACACACACACACACTTATATACACCTTTTATATACTGTTTATAATTATTTAGAGACAATAGAGAGACAATGAAAGAGTTAACAGATAAAGAGAGATCAGAAATACAAGAGGCAGAGGAAGCAAGGTCAGTAAACCTCATGTTTCATCATGTAGATATAATGAAATACCTCACTTATACTCATTGATTATTATTTTAGGATAAAGAAGATTAGGAAATGCAAATGGTATTAAGACAGAGGCTGAAATGGATGGATGATTAGGCAGCAGTTTTAGTTTTAACTAAAACAATACAATACTGCTATACTGTAATACACACATAAGATAATCACAGAGAGAAAGATCCTTTATTAATCAACAATACTATTAGTCAGTCATATACACAGTTTCATAAAGTGTCCTTTCTATAAGTATACAATTGAAGCAATAGATACATTGCACAGTCTGAGTTGGTCCCATACCCAGTGTGGGCTGTGATTGAGTTTAAGTAACTGTTCTCTGTTAGTCCTTAATGTAACAAGAAATCAAGTCTCTATCTAGAAATAAAAACACACACATAATAATTATTATTAAAGGGATCTCCCTGTGCATATAATATCTTACCTCCAGGTGATATTTTGGCATTGTCATCAAACATCTATAGGAAAAAACTATAATTAATATTCACTATAATAATGCATTCCAGTATTAAAGACATTAGTAATAAAATTCTATAGAAATCACTCAAGGAATATACATGTACTGATGTTTCAGTAATAGTTTACTTTATCAGAAGGTAATGAATTAGATGTTTCGATGCCATTACTATATAGAAGCAAAACTTTTAACTACAGCTGGCATCAGTGATTGTGTCTAGCTGCTTATTGATATCTGTTTTGGTTTGCTACTAGCAGCATCCATTTTTACCGGCTTCACTTGAGACTGATGAGTGGTTCCAGATGATAAGCCTGGATTAAAATTAACAATATCAAATTTTAATTTTAACATCAGACACAGGGTGATAGGGTGTCAAGGTCTCAGGCCAAATTTTGCTAAAATTGAAAAAAGAAAAATCTCCATTTAAATACTTTTCCTGATATATACATGTACTTATGTTGTGTAGAAAGTTTGAGCTGATTCTGATCAAAATTAGATTTTTTATAATGACTAATTTTCAACTGGGCTATACTATGGATTCAGTTTATAGCAAAAATATAATAATAACTCGTGCTAAGAACAATGATAAACAAAATGAAAGATAAGAATAATATAATGCTTTACTTGTAGTTTCTGATGTAAGAGACAACAAGACAGTCAGGATGACTCTTCCCTAAACTGAGACAGTTCATGTACATAATGTAAACTGATAGTTAATTATAGTTACCTTGGTAATGCTATACCATTCTCCCACCTGTAGCATAGTTCCTGTATCACTTCATACCAAATATGAGCCATTGCTTTAAGACCTAGAGACACAGAATACAATATGACCTTTGATAGTGTGTGTACATATGTAGTGGAACGTGCATGTACATGAATATTGAATGTACATTGTGTATGTCACAGTAAGTTTATACATACCATAATCATTATGAATGTTACAGAAAGCTTTGGCTAGACGCATTGTGAGACTATTAGGAGGAGCTGACTTTAATTCACGAGTGAGAGAATCCTTAAGATAAATAATGATAACATGATTATTGTGTAATAAAAAGATAAGACAAACTTCAGTTGATTTTTCATGGCCAGAGAGACTGCTACCAGGAACAGAATCAGGAAACAAACACTAAAAACAGAAACAACAGAAGGAAGGAGACAAAAACTAAGAGAGGAATAAACTATAACTCCAAACCTCAAGTATTTCATCTCTTTCTGAACCAGTAATTGGCTCAAATTTAGATCCAAACTCTAACTTCTTACTAGTTGAGTACATAACAGAGGAGAGTGTACTCAGACTACTCGGACTAGTCAGTTTAGTAAGAGCATGAGAGAAATCACTGCT